TCTTAGAAGGCGGAGGAGCTCTCTCTCTGAGCCCTCGTCTGTTGGCCCGTTGTTTCAAAAATGAAGAACCCGGGTGCAAATGGCCAGCGTACGACATCAAGTGCTTTATCATTAATGCGGTGGGTAATGGCCAACATAAACCTGTCCTCCATCGGCCGTTTTATTTTCGATTTAGATACAAAAAAAACTTTATTTCTATACTAATTTCAAGTAATTCCACCTTCTTATTCTCCGTCATACAAGCAAAACGGCCGATGGAGGACAGGCCTAATAAACACGAATACAAAGCACTTCGGGGTTTGAGTTGCTGCTTGCCGCCCGGCAAATGGCAACGGCAGTTCATAAGAACCGATCCTAAGCCGTGGCAACTGCGCCAGCCCGTGCGGCAGTCCACCATCCTGAGACCCCCCCTCTGAGTGATCGTTGTTGAACTCGCATGCATGTGTACGTGCATGAGTGTGCTGAGGTTCTTGTGAGGTTGGTGGCAATGGTGTACACCCCGCCATGTCGGTGGAAACTTTGACGACAACCGCCGGCGGCGGTATGAAATCTTTTGTTGTCGTCTGCGGAGGAACGGCGCAAGAGCAAGTGACTTTGCTTTCACGTCGAAAGATTGAGATCCCAACAGAGGATGGTTGCTGACGGCAGAACGCATTCGTTGCTGCGTCAACAAACTCGCGGGGCACACACCGTTCGATTCGCGTGACCGGAAGACGCATTTCAAAGCGGGTCACGCACGGCGGGGCGGCGGCACAAAAAGTTTTTGCTGCGACCAAGAAAGACACGTGTCCAATACAGCGTGGCAGAGAATGCACGTACTGCTGCTGTGGGTGAAGGTCAGGCGGCGCGTGGCCGATGAGGCAACAACCCAAGACACAATCATCGACAGCCCTGGTTGTGGCGAGCGGTGTTCCGGTGGGTGCCGGGGGGCAGGAAACGTCTTCGGCCCTTAGCTAACACCGGACAACAACACGAAAAATTACGCCGCCCTCTCCCGAGCCTTGTGCGTGTGCGTGGTAGGTTTCGTTGTCATCATGGTGTGCAGATGAATCCACAGCGTAGGAATTGAGGGCTGACTCTAATGAGAGGGTCTGTGTGTCAGCTGTCAGACAGGCTAGAGCTGCTGCCGAGCAGCGGGGGGCGGGGGGCGTTTGGTGCGACAGCACAGACTGCAATAGAAGCACACCATGTGTGTCCAGCAGCAGCAGCACCACCACCATTACGTGAAAATCCGGATACAGTCAGCGCCACAGACAGACACACGGATGATGCTGAAGCTCCAAAACCACTCACCGCAGGGTGATGATCGGATGCCTCAAGAAGCCAATCCTCCTTCTCCTGGCCGACAGCTCCCTGCTCAGAGTCATCTCCTCCCCGATGCTGCTCCTGCTGCGGTGCAGTCTGGAGAAATCCTCCTCGCGCTCATCGTCCCACCCCGCCACGCCGGTTACCCCACCACCTTGGCGCCCGAGGGAGGAGCGTGAACGACAATCTCTTACACACCCGTCAGCGTTGGCGGAAGCTCCCATCTCTGGAGGCATGCACCCGAACCTCTCTCCCCCGGGTGTACACGTTTTCTAGATGCTGACGCTTCTCACGTAGGTGTCCCTGGCTCTCTCTCTCTCGTCCTGTTTTATTTGTAATCGCCTCTCCCCGCTCTCTTTTTCTAGACCAAATGACGTGTCCAGACCCCTCCAGCTGACCAAGGGCACTGCAGCAATTCTGAAGGTGCTGCGGACAACCTACCGAAACGTTTGCCGAGGAAGGCACTGCGAGACCCTGATATGTTGGGACACGGGTATAGACACGGCCGCACGCGTACTCCTTCACGGACGTTCAAGGACAGCAAATGCGCGAAATCTCGTTGAACACTACTCACACACCGGGAAAAAATGAAAAAGATGGAAAAAGGGGGAGGTGGGGGGGGGGGTTACGCAATCATTAACATTGTGTACAGCAGCTTCGCGGCACACAGATCAGCGATCAGCACCCATGGTCTATGCTGTCATCTACCATAGATCAGCACCCCCGGAGCGTAACCACAGCAGTGCGTACGTACCTAGCTGCGGAGGTGCAGAAGCCAGACTTCGCTCGTGAACGGTTGGACCCAGCGGTGGATGAGGGCCAGGAAATGTGCTCTAGAATTTAACTACAGAACAGGTGGATGTATGCACAGAGTAGCCCGTTGAGGTATATGTAGGCCGAGAGAGACAAGAGAGACAAGAGAGAGACAAGAGAGAGACAAGAGAGAGACAAGAGAGAGAGCACTGCGACTAGCAGCGACTCAGCAATCCACTACGCTCTAATAATGCTCTATGTGTTGCTTCGCAATGCTATATGCATACGCATTCATGCGTATGTACTCGCGTTTGGATGTGCAACAATGCTGGGTTCTGTTACAACGGCCAAGTACAACTCTTGTGTGGAGTGTGGACCGGACAGGGAACTTCTGCATAATATAGCACGAGTAGGACACTTTCTTAGCGTTGTGGCGCATCCGTTTTTCATCGCAAGAACTCAAGGTCTTGTTCTTGGAGGTGCAGTATCTTATCTTCACCTCCGTCGCGCCCAGGACCCGATACCCGATTGCCGCCTCGTTACAGTACCAGTGTCGGCAGAGATACATACCGATCACAAGAACCTATAGACTAGAATGAGAGGGGCAGTATCTGCACCTCTTGCGTTCGAGTACAGTACTGGACCCGCTATTGTGCCGATTGAATAGTGCCGATGCCGCGTAGAATGCCGGTAAAATCTCCGGACACAGAAAGCGCCCTCAATAGTGCTGGTTCGGCACTATTGAGGGCGGCCCCTCTATAGTGCCGATTGGGCACCACGGCGCCCCGCAATAGTGCCGGTTCACACACACACGCCAGCTGACACACACACACACACACAGCGGCCTCGTCACGACCCTCACGGGCGGGCAGGCTAAGAAAACATAGGTGGCTCCATCTATCTCTCAGCCGACACCTGGCAGACAGTGCCTTCGACCCTTCGACGGCGGTGGTATCTCCTTCTCTCACGGAATCACAAATCTTTGTTTGGACAACGGATGGGTACAACCNCACGGGCGGGCAGGCTAAGAACACATAAGTGGCTCCATCCATCTCACAGCCTACATCTGGCAGACAGTGCCTTCGACCCTTCGACGGCGGTGGTATCTCCTTCTCTCACGGAATCACAAATCTTTGTTTGGACAACGGATGGGTACAACCTGGATTTCCTGCTACTACTGCACTGTACAGTACTACTGCGGCGGCTGCGGATACTGGATTCCTGGACGTGCTCACCTGAAANATCTTTGTTTGGACAACGGATGGGTACAACCTGGATTTCCTGCTACTACTGC